AAATGGCCCATATTACAGTATTTTGTGATGTATGTTATAATGTTGTTTTGTCATCACAAACATACATGGAGTTTGTGTTTTGTTTCATTCACACATGTTTAATTTTTTTTTCTCAAACTGAAAATACTCTGTCTCACCTTCTGATGTCATTTGGTAATACAGGAAGTCACAGGAAGTCACTTTGCTTTCTCGGTAATGATAACGGTGTTGTATGTATGTACAATGGGGAGTGTAATTAATTAGATTACTCCGTGTTACGACCCAAAAAATTTGAGTCCCAACATATTTAGGAAAGGACACGGAAACCAAAGTAGAATTTTAGAGTTTTTATTTTTGTTTGTGCAGAGATGTTTAAACCCAAAAAAAGAAACCCTACCCGTGCCCAAACCAAAAGTATCAATGGAAAGGTGGACCTGGGGAGCCGGCCAAAAAGAACAAAAGGGTGCGACACCGGGCCAACCCTATACAGGGCCGTAGGAGCCGGTGCCAGCACCCGTAACTAAAGACCAAAAAAAACCCAACAACCTAAACCCAACAGAAAAGCGAAAACAGGACAGCCGGTCCCACCAGGTCAAAACAAAAGGCTAACGACTAACAAAAGCTACCAAAATGATGGAGCAGGGGAGCCAGCAGGGCGGCTCCCATCGCAAGGCGTGAGCGCTCTGGTACCTGCGGCGGCGGCGGACGAGGAGGAGAGAATGAGAGAGAGAGAGAGAGAGGCGGCGCCGGGCTCGCGCATTTAAGGCCTCCTGCCGGAAATGAGTACAAAAAAACTACAAAAACATAATTAACTTATAAGAACAAAACTAGGCAGAAATGCTACAAAAAATATAAACAATAAAAAGAAAGCAGGGAAAAAACAAAAAGTGCCCAAACCTAACACTCCGTTACCAAAAATGTAGCACCGTTAGTAGCTCCGTTATACTTAAACGTCGTTATTCTCAACACTGTAGCTGTCAACTATGGCTTCATGACATCACAAGGTGGAACACAGCATTTTGAGCTCTCAAGATGTAGACAGACCCAAAACACAACTCCAGGTATGATTTTGAAGAGGTAATAGAATTATAACATGGCTAAAAGCTTACAAGAGTCGTATGCGCATAAACAGGATCTTTAATATACAGTATTTTGAACATATTACCCAAGATTCTCTGTTGTAATAATAAAATATTTCACAAACACTTTTTTTCTAAACTAATTTACAATAAAACCTAGTCCGTTTCACAGTCTTGGCATAAATTTGTTTAGTGTAGGTTGCAAATCCACGTAGGCGGAAAGGACAGTTAGAAGGACAATGCATCAGATCCCACTGTTTTTTCTCCGTCTTGAATCTCTCTATTCCCAAAAGCCTTTTCAAATACATCAGCTAAGTGTCACATAGCACCACCCAGCCAACCAACCCTCACACCGCGCGCCATTTTTAGATCCACCTCCGCTAGCGTTAGAATCACATCCCACTAATACCAGTCAGTCTCCAGCTGTCTGCGGCCAATTACAGCCAGTCTGCACACAGCTCCTCTGGTTTAAAGCACATCTGATCAAACATAGAGATGCTTTGTCTGTATTTGGACCGCAAGTCTCAGCCAGTTTACGCCTACGCAAAAAAGAAAATAAAAGAAAGTCATTTGTGTGTAGCAAATTCTGGATGGTGCGGTTTTAAAGAGCTCATATTAAAAAACATTTATCTCATGACAAAAAATGCAAATCTACAACTCATACAATATAAGGTACTCCACAGAACTCACTACACTGGTCAAAAAATGCTGAAAATGGGTTTCACATCAGAAATTAACTGCACAAATTGCACACAAAACCTCCCCGACACTTATATTCACGCCTTCTGGCATTGCACACCCATCAGGCACTTCTGGGAAGGAATCACGGACTCACTATCCCACTTCATGGGTTGTCGCATCCCCATGTCCCCCTCACTCTGTCTTCTAGGAGACCTTTCAATAATCTCAATAGATAATAAAAACCATAAACCTCTCCTTGTGGCCCTAACTATCGCCAAGAAAACTATCCTCATGAACTGGAAATCAAGACACAACATACATCTGACACACTGGAAAAACCTACTCATTGACCATATCTCTCTGGAATACACATCTACTACCCCCGTCAGCACAACAGCACCACACTCACCCTGGTCCACCTTCCTCGATTTTCTACAAATGTAATTTCATATTTGATTACTCTTCTCCTCCTCGTTCTTTAACACTTTTCTTTGTCTGGTTGCCTATCACCTTTTGCTTGACATTAAAATAGATGAAGTCCTGAGAGTACATACACATGCACACATGCACACACACATAACACACCCATACACACTCACACACACCTGTACAAACACACACAATGCCATACACACCGCTTAATTTTATAAAGAAACAGGGATGGGATAGACAGGCTATATAAAATAGAACTTTAACAGACTTAGGAACACAGCACAAAGTTGTCTGCCTCAGGTCCCTAGCGGGCTGGGCCCTCTCTGCTGTCACCTGGGTGTTGGGTGTGGGGGTCCTCCTACGGGTGCCCGGTTGCGTGCTCTCCCGTCCCCTCAGGGTCTCCCCTCTGTGCTGGCTTCACTCTCTGGGCTACCCCCAAGCTCCTTACCTCCCTGATACTTTTAATGCATCACACCCAATTTTTTTTTTTAATGCATCATAAGTCAACCAGGGATGAATGTGGGTTCATGTGTGTGAATTGTGTGAGTATGTGTGTAGGCTTGTGTGTATGTGGATGTGCGTGCACATTCCTGTGCAGGCAGGTGCGTGCATGCATGTGTGCGTGTGAATGTATGCACATGTACATATATATCAGGGAGGGGGAGCATTCAGACCGGGAGGTGGTTCATTGGGGGGTGGGCCGGCCTGGTCGATGGGCGACCACGTGCGGAGCCCTGGGGGTGGCCCCCGCACCCGCCTTGGTGGGCATGAGTGTGGCTTGGCCTGCTCCCACTTCAGTGGGGATCTGAGGCAAAATGCCAACACACACTTAACAAATTTTCAATACTCAAATTAAATAACAATAATACAGGTCAACATTAAATCATCCGCATAGCCTGTCTATCCCCCCCCCGGCACACATACATACACACGCGTATACACACACATACACACACACACACGCACGCATATACACACACAGACACGCACATAAGGTTCACACTGTCACCAACCCCTGTCATCTTTGTTCCTATTTGTATGTAATGTCTGTCTTGTATCTTGTATGTCGTTTGGTTCCTATTTGTTGTAATCTATGTAGTTTGCAAATAAAAATTATTTAATAAAAATAAATAAATAAATAAAATAAATAAATAAAAAATAAATAAATAAAGAGCTCATATTGTGCTATTTTCTGATCTGATGTTATTGTTTCCTCATCAAGAACATCCCTGGAGTTTTGTTTTGTTCCACCTCCTTCATCATTTTGAATACATTACATGGTGTAAATGCTGTTATATGGCATGTGCATCATCAGAGGTGCGGAAAAATTAAAGAAGGCACTTACTTCATGAATCCACCAGTTTTCTGCTGCTTTATCTTTATCCAGACTTCCCTCTCCTTGTGGGCAGACTCGCCTCTTGTCCATCGCACTTCTTCCAAGTCCAAGACACTGGAGTCACCTAAGAGTGCGGGAAATATCCTACACAGAAGTATTTGGCCATATGACTTCAACCATTGTTCCCCCAAAGACTGTGTTGCAATCCTCAGGTGGGTCGCAAGAGATTTTTTTTTGGGTCACCTGATCTGCGGCTGCGCTCTCCTGCACCTCAGACTGGAACATGCTACAAAAACGCAGACAGGTCCACTTATCTCATTAGAAATGTTGAAATGTTAAGACATGTTTTGTGTAATTTCTAATCTTTTTGTAATTACTTTATTGACTGTTTTGTTCCAATATTGCTGGTTCAATTACATGTTCAAAAGAAAAAGAAATGGGCTACATTTAATGTCCAAATAGGTGACTTATGGATCCTTTTATTGCTGGGTCAATGACTGTTTTTCATTAATGTTCAATAATGGTCAAATCCACCTTTATTTTGTGATGTACGAATAATGTCTGTTGACTTGGGTTGTGAAGGTTTGTGACTTTTAAAATATGGGTCCCCAGAAAAAAAGTTTGGGAAACATTGACTTAAACTACTTTAACTAAAAACATAAACCACGCAGTTTTATTTGACTTAATGATAACACTCATGAATTATTTTCTTATGCTATTTGTGTTGCTACAGACAGTTACTTATGTCTCTAGCTTATTTAAATTGCTAGCTGAACAAATATCTTAATCAGGAGTGCAAAATGTTCATAAGAAAGACATGCCCATTGTTATATGAAGCTAATTTTGACATAAAACAGAAAATTACATTAACTTGAAGAGCCACGTGTTCAGTCAACATGGCTGTCGAGAGGACTCTGGGAAATCTGTGCATTTTCTGACTGAGCATGTCCAAAAAATGAAGTTTGAGCTTTCAACTACAGAACTAAGATAACAAGTTCTTTCAACATATTGTTTATTTATTTATTTGTTTTATTTAGCAGGGACAGTGTACATTAATCAACACTTCTGTAAATGTACCAGAATTAGCCAGAGAAGCTATTTTTCATCTGTAGTCCCTGGACAGATGGTAAACATGGTCACCCTAACAACACAACAATAAGAATTATACAAAAAAGTGCAATTGTGCGTAACAGTTCAATTAAAAGGCGGTGAGAATACAAACAGACACTAACAACCATAACCACAATGAACACAATGAGAAATAACACACACACTAGAGCACACAGACAGAGCACACACACTTGGGTAGGGAGGATGGCACACTGATGATCACAGGTTTGATGAGTTATTAGTCAATTCTTAACATGTTTTTGAACAGAATGCATGATGTTGCGGTGAAGATTTACCAGTCAGTCTTCGTTCCTACTCTCACCTATGGTCATGAGCTCTGGGTAAGGACCGAAGGGATGAGATTGCAGATACAAGCGGTCGAAATGAGTTTCCTGCGCAGAGGGGCTGGGTGCTCCCTTAGAGATAGGGTGAGGAGCTCAGTCACACAGCAGGAACTCGGTGTAGAGCCGCTGCTCCTCCATGTCGAGAGGAGTCAGTTGAGGTGCCTCAGGCATCTGTTCCGGATGCCTCCTGGGCATCTTCCTTGGGAGATGTTCCGGACATGTCCCACCAGAAGGAGGCCCCAGGGAAGACCCAGGACACACTGCAGGGACTATGTCTCTTGGCTGGCCTGAGAATGTCTTGGGGTGCCCCTGGAGGAGCTGGAGGAAGTGTCCGGGTGAGGGAAGTCTGTGAGTCCCTGCTCAGACTTCTGCCCCCACGACCTGGCCCCAGATAAGTGGAAAAAAATGGGTGGATGGATGAATGACGTTAGATCCCTAATGCTGCCAGGGACAGAGTTCCACTCCCGAGAGGCTGCGATCATCATTCCCTGAAACACAGTGAATGAATACAGTTGAACTCAGCTGAAATTATAATCATAAGTTCATATATATATATATATATATATATATATATATATATATATATATATATATATATGTATATATGTATATATAATTGTAAGTTTTGTTGACAAAATGCCCATAGTTTTTTTGCAGTGTGGGCATTATTTGAACCCAACTTACAGTTAGATGATCCCATACATTATTCAGCCCACAAGCCAACATAACCTGTGCTCCCACATGACAATTTTCACAGATATACAATAGCAGGACACAACACAATACACTACAACTTAACAAATTGATATTTTGTGCAGTAGTTTCATTAGCGGGATGCACGAATGATTGTGCTGTGATAGCATTCTAAAGGGAGGGATACTAATAAAAGAATACAATAAAAGATAATGGACATTGTGATCTAAAGATGTTATGTGTTAGCAATTAATACCCCTTAGAAATGTAACACCCCCTCTTTAACCGAATGCAATAAACTGTGTAAGAAACTGTCAATCTAACAAACCATGGTTAGATCTTATTTAGAACACATTCTTTTTGAGCTTTGTGTGTGCCAGATAGAACGGCACACTGCACCATGCTTCTGCAAAATGCTGGAGCTCCATAGCAGCCTTGGCATCATTACGAAGATTAAATGTGTGTCAAACTTTGAGACGGAGAGAAACTGGCAGGCTCCTCTGTGCCATCGCAACTGTGGGTTTGTTTTTGCAAGAACAATCACAGAATGAAAGTCAGTCCACCATTAAAATGTACTTCCTGCAAATTAAGACCATAAATCATTGGTCCAGGATAGGTCGTGGTAAGACATCACAAATACATTAAGGGTTAAATAAATAACTTAAAATGGTGGTCATGTAATAAAACTAAGCAAATAATTTATGTTTATGCGATATACTTTTGTAAATTAATCATATTTATGGTATGGCGTGTTTGAATTGATTGGAAATACCTGGAAATACTCTTTCTAATGTAATTAATTAGAATTCCAGCCTTTTCTCTTCAAACTGAATCTGTGTCTGAACCCTTTGGAGCACAGAAAAATGGTTGGACTCTTTGCGAAGCCGAGGCTCTGGAGTTTTGTCCGGTCGGATCTTGACAATTCCCACGTCAAAGCTGAAGCATATCCCACTAAAAATTTAATTCAGAGTTATTTATTTTATTATTTGTGAGGTCATAGTAAACAAATTGGTCCACATTCTTCTCAAAATAGTTGATTTGTCTGAAAATAAGGGGGTTACAGTTTTCCCTTCATCTTTCACATGCCTCGTAGCTTCACAAGAAAAGCCCACCGGCAAACCCAGGACTCTTATGAGGTTAAAGCAGACCTATTATGCAAAATTGACTTTTTTCAGCTTTGAACCATGTTATAACTGTCTCCCTTTCTCTTTTACTCTTGCTCAAAGTTGTATTTAGAGTGATTTGTGCATATTTGAGCATCTTAGAGACGTTTAGATGTATGTTGCGATTTCAAAAGTGTAAATTATAACATAATGATCCATGGGTGTCATAGATTATAACTATATAGCAGGCACAAGGTATCTCCTTTAAAGGTGCACTGTGTAACTTTTCTGGTGAAGGGTCCATCCACAGCTTTTCTCCATGGAGATATTATTGCTTTCTTTGTCTGTTTGTATTAAAGGGATAGTTTGGAATTTTGGACATAGGGCTTAATTTCCTTGTTAGCCAGTGTGTTGGAGATGTGTGGAGACACTTTTTTAAATATTCCATCCAGTACTTGTATTTGCAGAGGTCGCTGGTGCTAGGCTAGTGCATGTCAATGGCCATAGTTGTCCTGCCACTAAAAACAGTCTTACCTACTCCACAAAGCACCAGAAGCAAATCTATCATTACACCAGACTGTCGAGGTGAATGTCTGTGTCGATAGAATAATTTTAGAAGTAAAACCAACCTTGCATTAGAAAGATTTATGTCTGAGCAACAGCGAGTTGTAATTCCTGATAGAAAGCTTGGCAGCAGCGGACTGATATATAAGAAAATAGTCCCTCAACATGCGACGATTCATGTGATGTTAAGTAGAGATGCTTAATGTCATACTGTGGAACATTCCAGGCAGAGCAATGACATATCCATAGAAACAAGATGACGGGCACTCCACCAGAAAAGTTATACAATGCACCTTTAAGGCTTACCAGAGAGAATTTTGTAATATTTAAAAATGTTCAAAAGAGCTTGTGGTAGAGTAAAATCATGTTATTTCGAGATTTTTTTAAAAAAAAGGTCTGCTTTAATTGCCAAATTCATCTGGCATGTGTATTTGAACATACAATCCTATACTAGTCAACTGAAGCACACTGTATTTTCTCCATAGTTCTTGACGGTAATTGCCAGACCCCATCTCTATCGTGTGACCTCTGAGTCACTGCACACTCGGACAGACACTATTACAGAAAAGATGGCCTTATTAAGCTTATTGTACCAGCTGCACCTCAAGGTCAGAGGTCACAGGGAGACCTTTATGTGAATGGTAAGTTGGCTCCCACGTCACAGATATATACTGCTAATACTTTTTTATTCACAAGTCTAAATTTAGATAGGTCTACAGTAAATGTACTATCAGCAAGTCATGCACATTAAAATAATTGGGGCTAAACATTCTTTTAATGATTTCAATTATTATCAGTTTATCCTAATGGCCTTTTCTCTCTGCTCTAAAGACTCCACTCATTCTCAGATCTCAGTCTTATTACGAGGCCTATTCAAGGATTTCAGGCAAAGGATTCCTTAGCGACTTGAAGGATTTGGCATGGCAACAGTTCGTCATTGTAAAATTGATTTTAAATTCCATAAACATTACCTAACAGTGTTCACAGACACGTGGTAGACATGCTCAAATCAAGTATAGCTTTTGCTGATCACAACTGTAATCCTGGTTTAATTCTTAATTACAAAAAAAATATATATATACAGATTCTCAAGATCAGAATGCAGATTGAGCCTCTCGTGAGTCTCTCATTTGTCTTGCCAGTTTCAATGCTGAAATCCAGTTGTTAAAACCCAAAAATGAGTCTCTGATCTGCATCTTCTCTACCTAAACCTCAGAACCTGCAGCCAATTATTAGGTAGTGCTAGTGCAGCCTCTATTGCTGAAAGAAAAAACATTGTCTTTGTCCTTTATCTGCACTGTTAAGGCACTGGCAACCCAGGTTTAGCTGTGATTATAATACCTTTTTTATAACTGCAAGAGCACAGGCTAAAGTTCCTTAAAAGCAATAACTAGGGGTGTAACGATATCCAAGTCTCATGATATGATATTGTCACGGTATGAGCCTCACTGTACAATATTTTTTGCGATATCGTGGGAAAGCTCACTATATGCTGGGGAGGCTCACGATTAGGGATGTAACAATATCCAATTATTGCAATATTTTGTGGGGGCTAACAAAACTGTTAATATGCTACTTTTTCCTCTTAAAAATGTCCTGGACAAAGTCCTTGACAAGAACTAAGACTTATAAGTGCATAGAACTGTTATTTCTTCATGCAGTCTACACTGAAATGGAGCAAAGGATCATGGTCTATGTGGTTCCCTCTGTCTTTTTTCAGTTATTTCTGCACCATAACTCTTAATTTAAGAAAAAGACTTGTAATTCAATATATTGTGATGGTCCACGATAATATTGTGAGAACTTTGACAATACAATATCACAATATTTCAATTATTGTTACATCCCTAGCAATAACTATAGAAAAAACAATGCTATATAGCTTTTGAATGGGGAAAAGTCCTCATTGTAATACTGAACCCTTGTCAAAAAGTTATATTTTTTGAGTTATATATCAGTTTCGAAAAACAGGTATTGTTAGGTTACCGGTATTGAAAAAAATCTAACAGTGCCCAGCCACATGTGCATATGTGCCTACTCAAAGATAGAAATACTAACTTAGAGTCTAATTTCATTTTTTTCATCTGAATAGGTTATATGTGCATGTGAGTGTTTGCATTAAAATAGTGACATTTCAAAAACTTCAGAGTTATCAATCAATCAATCAAACTTTATTTGTATAGCACTTTTCATCCCACGTCACCCCATTGTTTCATCCATATATGCAAGAATTTAAACATAAACATAAAAACAAAAACATAAAGCTCCTAAAGGTTAAAATCAAAATCAAAATGGAGAGCTAAAATCAAATGGAGACAAAGTAAAACAGCAATGATAATTTTATTTAGAATCAATATAATAATAACAATAACAATAACAATTAAAGCCGCAAGCGGCGTCAAACGGCCCTCGCCCGCCGTGCCCGCAAACACCGCGCCCGTGAACGCCGCGCCCGCAAATCGTGCGACCTACCAACACCATACCCTAAACGCCGTGCCCGCAAACTCTTTACCTGCAAATGGCGAAATGACATAGTACGCCTTTAAATGTTCTATGCGCCCCCTGCTGGCCAACCTTGAAATATTCCCATGTCAGTAATATATGTTTTTTCTTCTAGTCATTAATATAACTGAATTCCCAAATTTGGTACAAATCCGACAATGTTGACGTTTCATGTGTATGGTAGGGGGCGCTATAGTGTTCAATTTTCATATGTTTTATAGTGTATTATATTCAGGTTGAGATCACGCATTAGTGATTCAAATTTCAGCATGATCGGACTACGCATGTGCGTGTAATATATTATTTTATGTTTTTTGGAGGAATATTTGCGCCCCTGCTGGCCAACAGTGAAAAATTCCCCATGTCCATATTATACTTTTTTACTCGTAATCATGCATAGAATTTAATTCCCAAATTTGGTGCAGATCTGATAATGTTGACTTTTCATGTCTATGGTAGGGGGCGCTATAGTGTTCACTTTTCATATGTTTTATAGTGTATTATATTCAGACTGAGATCACACATTAGTGATTCAAATTTCAGCACGATCGGACTAAGTCTGTGCGAACAGGAGCAAATAATGTTACCTTGAAATTAGGTGAAATTTTGAGTGAAATTTGCGGCTTTGCCGCACGTAAACCGTGACAGTTATCAACATAAATCAGCTAACTTTAGATGTTCCACTTGTCTAGATGATGTACGGTGATTTTCAGCCCTGTGGGTGAAGCGCCTTCAGAGGAGTTCGTTCAAATGCAATGTGAATGAAAATGCGGACGGAAATTTCAATCCAAGATGGCCGCCTTCTGGATTGTCGGGGGGCGTGGCCATAATAACATTTTTTGTTTGTCTTCACATGACGAATGTGTGTACCAAATTTAGTGGCTCTACGACAAAGTTGACCGAGAAATCTCCCATAGACGCAAAATTTTTTACTTTTCCAGGTGGCGCTGTGTCGCCATTTTTTTATGCCCGTGCACGAAACCTGTATTTTATCGAATTTTTCGCCACTTCTGAATATTGTGCCAAGTTTGGTGAGTGTTTGAACGTGTTTAGGGGGTCAAATTAGAGCTCAAAGAGCAGAAGAATAATAAAAAAATAAAATAATAATAATTCGAGCAAAAACAATATATCCGAAAACTTTAGAACAACATATTATACATTTTTTGAAATCTCTCGACCTTCCCCACGTCACCGTGGGGTCATTGGTGAGTGACGGGCACGTCTGGACCATCTCGTCGGGGTCACCCCCGACCTCCCATTGACTTCCATTCATTTTAGCAGTAGTAAATATGAGCCAGGCCTTGGGCGTGGGTTACTGGGATACTGCTGTTCGTGCCGGGGGCGACCGTGGACATAGTTGCATGTCGTCTTGTCGCATTCGGACATGCGCACGTCGCTCCCCATTCGCTCCGCTGAGTGGAAGCAATAGGCCCTACGCCCTGTCGGGGATCGGGCCTAATTATTCAAACATCTTTTTTCAGAGTTTCAAAATGAAAAGAGAAATTCAGCTGTATTAGAATTTCAAAATCTAGTGGACCAAATTATCTTCTATTGGATTGCTTATACTTTTACTTCACTACATTTGAGAACAAGTGTCTGTAATTTCTGCTCCACTACATACAGTATTTGAACTGAAATGAACAGTATTTTTAATTTAGCTTGAGACTTGTTGAGAAGTTTATTTTGAAGCACATTTGTAGTTTAAGAACAAAAATATACCAATAAAAACAGATTTTTTGGTTTCGTTTGTTTTTTGGCAGTGTAAAAATACTCGCTGGTTTGTTGTTTCAGGATCTTCTTCCTCAGTCGACGTACAAACCTCCTCCGGTCGTCCCCACCGAGGCCCTCGGCACAGGCACAAACAAATACGTGTACTATGTGTGTAAAGAGCCGGGCTTCCCGTGGACCAGGCTCCCCGCGGTCACTCCGGCTCAGATCACCGCCGCGCGCCTCATCAAGAAGTTCTTCACCGGGAGACTGGACGCTCCCATCGAGAGCTTCCCGCCTTTCCCCGGCAACGAGGCCAACTACCTGAGGGCCCAGATCGCTCGCATCTCCGGAGGGACACAGGTGAGACGGACCGGAGTTATTTACATGAAAAATATACCACACCACCTGTTTGTGCAAAGATTCCAGCTCCCACAGATGAATGCTGTTGTTGTGTTCTTGGGCAAGACACTTAACTCACCTCAATCCTAATGTCTGCATACACCAGTGTGTGAATGTGTGAGTGTGTAAAGCTCTTTGAGTGCGTTGAAAGTGGAAAAGCGTGATATAAATGTGACTATTTACCATTTATCATGTCAGTAATTCAGCAACCACATTTTTATCAACACTTATTTGTTAAAGGTTTTTCGGAAACCCTGAGCAGAGAGCAAAAAAAAAAAAAAAAGAGGCACGCCATTTGGCTCAATTTTCTATGTTTTTTGTTTTGTTTTTGTTTTTTTGTTTGGTTTTTTTTTTTGGATAAAAGCTTGCCTCTCAGGGCTTCCAAAATGTTCAAATTAGAGGGTATAAATTTATCTTAAAGGCACATTGTGCAAAATTTGTAGACGCCAACTTCTCTTCCCTACGGAAATGTTATTGTGTGCCAGTAAAGATTAAAGCTTTCTATCATCAGATCTGTGGAGAGTCCAGGCTGAAGTCCAGGATTTGTCGATCCAGTGACTTCCCAGAAAGTTTCATGGTGCATCCTTCCTGTTACCGTGAAGCTGTGTTCTCCATTCCCGCTTTTTTCCAGTCCCTCACAAGTTTCTCACTCACTCCAAACTTTCTTTCTGCTGCTTGATTACTGTTTTCTGCTGTATATTTCACTACTTGCAGCAGGACAGAGGCTTTTTCTGCCAGAGACATGCGCAGAAAACTGACACACGAGCCTAGAGCCTCTCATGGCTTCAGTCTGAAAATTTTAATATATAAGTTGCACCGGAGTATAAGTTACAGGAAACACCCAAACCATGAAAAAAAGTGCGTCTTACAGTCCGAAAAACACAGTACTATAAAGGATGCATTCATTAGTTCGCACAATCATCCATCCATCCATTTTCTTCCACTTTATCTGGGGCTGGGTCGCGAGGACAGCAGTCTGAGCAGGGACTCCCAGACTTCCCTCTCCACAAACACTTCCTCCAGCTCTTTCAGGGGATCCCGAGGTGTTCCCAGACCAGCCCAGGAGATATAATTCCTCTGGCTTCCCGGTGGGACGTGCCCTCCCCAGAGAGGCGTCCAGGAGTTTGCACAATCAGTCCATCGCAATTAGGACAATCTGAGACTAAACCCATAATTAAACCAGGACTAGACCAGTACTAAACCAGGACTAGACCAGAACTGGGACAAGACTAACCCACATTTACATCAGGATTCAAACTGACCAGGAAAAAACAGGATGAGTGGAAGTGCCCTACAATGCCCATGTTTATGTTCATGTGTATCTCAGGAGAATTTACCCCATAAATATATTTTATACTGTATATTTTTAATTCTACTTTTCCAGAATTATAAACAAATATTCAGCATTTGTCATTTTTTCGTGTTTCCTCTGGACAGGTGAGTCCAAAGGGTTTTTACCACTTTAAAGAAGAGGAGGGGAACGAGGAGGACGAGGTGACCCAGGACACTTACGAGGCGGACCCAGAGTTCGAGGGGCTCCCGGCCGTCAAACTGTCCGAGTCTCTGTCCGCGTGGGTCCACCACACGCAGCACATTCTGGAACAGGTGAGTGAGCACACAACTAGTCACGTTTAACAAATCATCATAAATTGTCTGCAAACATTTTAGGACAGTGGTTTTAGAGGGGAGAAAATGTGTCATCTTATACTAGAAATACTGATGTTTTGAAGCTCTACTGTTGTTGTGTGCTTGTGTACTTTAAAATAATACTACTCAAGTAAAAGTACAAAGTAGTGGTCCAATAAATTACTCAAATAAGAGAAGTTTGTTTGGAGAATCTACTACTAAAGATATAGGACATAAGGAGTTACAGAATGTCACTTGTTTCTTATGTATTGGCTCTAAGACGTTTGGAAACATGCGGATGACGACTTCCGGTGTACTTACCGACACTGGGCATGAGATAAAACAATAAAACTGTGGATTCAGCAGCAGCGTCTTCACAACTTGCCAAAGATTTCCGTGGAGGACAAGACTCTAATCCACTTCTTCCACGTCACTTACAAACAGCTGGTTGGAACTGTTGATCTGTCGAACATAACGGAACACTACAATGACGTCTTTTTTTATTAAATTAGACAAATTATAAAAGCACAAATTAATAAGCAGTTTATAAAAGGAAAAAAGAAAGAATACAAAGACATCCAGATCTGACATGTCAAACTCAGGCCCGGGGGCCAAATTTGGCCTGTGATATAATTAAATTTGGCCCACAAGATCATATCAAATATGTATTAGAGCTGACCCACTCAGATAGACTATATTGACTTTATTTATTTAAAATGTTGTTATTGTTTTATATTCTGCTTCTTCTGGATTCAATATTTAAGCAAATCTATTATCAAACATTTATTTTAATAAGAAAAGGTTTAACATTACATATTCGAAAGAAAAGAAAATATGCAAATGTTGTTGAAGTTTTTCAATAAATATTTAGTTTGGCCCACGACTTAGTTTCACTTTTTTAATTTTGGCCTCTGTGAATTTGAGTTTGACACTCCTGATCTAGATGAAGAAAACTGGGCTATTTTCTCAGTTTTCCCAGATTGTGTTACTGTTGCCAACAAAGCCCAAAGGAAGTCGTCATCCACATGTTTCTGACGTCTGCTGGTTTTGTGATGTGAGCGTGAATAGAGCTTGTTGTACACAGGGTTCCCACGTCATGGAAATTGAAAATGTCATGTTCCAGGCCTGGAAAATTCATGGAATTTTGTAGATTCAATGAAAGTTTCGCAAAAGTCATGGAATTTTAGTATCTCTTTCACACAACTCCAGCATTCTTTTAAGTTCTCATTAAGCGATTCTGATTATTTCTGAACGTCTGCACCTTTTGTTTAAAAGAGACGACAATAAATGCACTGACAGGATTTAGAATGTTAAAAAAAGTATAATCCCAAACCATAAGGTGAGTGGGAAGAGTTCACATTTCATATTTAGCCCTAAAAGTCTGATCAGTTCTCCACATGTAGGTGCTGTAAAGTCATGGAAAATTCACTTTAGGTCATGAAAAAGCCATGGAAAAGTTTAGAAAGTTTAGTATTTCTTATTGTTACTCTTCAGGGTCGCTGTACGTGGGTGAACCTCACGTCAAAAGCAGAAGAACAGAACGAGGAAGGAGAGGAGGAGCGAGAGGAAGAGTCAGAGGAAGCAGAGCCTGAGCTGGGGCCTCCACTGCTCACACCTCTGTCCCAAGACATAGGTACAGTCATATTTTGTTTTAAATCAAATAGTAGAAAAAAAATTACTGTTGGCAATCAAAAAGGTGCACGGTAAATTCATGCTTAAAGGTTGTACAGAGGATTTTTTAAGGGAAGTGAAATACAGCGACAGTCCTTTTTCAAATGTTGTGCTTGTGTGACACCACCTTCCTCCTCCACAGCTCCTCAGTAGAAACATCTCCTCCTGCCTCTTTACTCTAGAAATTACATTTGTTTACAGCCAGTGCTCGTTCAGAATTACTGTTGAAGTTTCCTGTCTAGAAATAATTTAGTGATCGACGCGTCAGTTTTTAGACCCTTCGTCTGCTTCATTCGCGCCATCGCTGGAAGGAATCTCCAAGAATCACGTCAGTTTGGTTTCGCTCCTTTTCCCCTTCTCTTGTTCTTTCAGCGATCTCAAAAACGGATTTTCTTTTGGGGCGAACTGGTCGTGGATTCTTGTCCACCATCGCAACAAACTTTGCAAATTGCGAGGAAGTGACAGTTTGAAAAAGCCTCTAAGACATACGTTCAGACTGCAGGGCTTAACGCTCAATTCCGATTTTTTGTGAAATCCGATGTTTTTTTTCGAGGTCGTTCACATTTCCAATTAAATGTGATTTGTATGCGTCTCCTGTGTGAATGTTAAACGGCCCAAAAGTGTCCCGTATGTGCACTGGAGACACGACGACGTCAACCGCAGCGAGCGTGCTCTGTGTTTACAGAAGTTGTCCAACTTTTTAGTTGAGAGATTTTAAAGTTCCTCTCGTACCGGAGCCAGAACATGAACAACTTACTTGTTTTAAGGAGGAGATTGAGAAGGAGAAGGACGAGGTTTTTGGTCGTGGTGTTTTGTGGGGCAGTGTCTGTTGAAAGGAACGTGTGGATGTGGAGACGGAGCCAAGAGTGGTGAGTGGTGATGTGCTTCACTTCAGTGACACGGAGTTCATTAACAATTTTCGCCGACTTCAGCGCAGAATAGTGACGTTTGTGTCTTGTTGATAACGTGTAGGTGGATGAATGCGCTTTGGCCGTTCACACTGAAGTCACATGTCAAAAGATCAGATATGTATCGGTTTCAGGAGCACATATCCAAGTGTCCTGGGTCACATTTGAAAAAATCAGATCTGTGTCGTTCAGACTGTCATTAAAAGATCAGATACAGGAACATAGAAGCCAAAAAATCAGATTTGGGTCACTTCAGGCTGCAGTCTGAACGCAGCCTAAGAACCTCTGCATAAACGTAGGGAGTTTGATTGACGACCTAACAGCCAATAGAAAATGAGGTAGCCTCGTTTTCTATTGGCTGATGTTTATCCGGCCTCACTACATCCACAGTTGATAGATTTTCATTCTTTTTTTTTTGGTCATCATGATTACAAGGCCGCTGCGTCTCTGTAATGGTATTTTAAACTTTCAATGACAATTTGAAACAAAACAAAAAATCCTCCATACAACCTTTAAATGTGCATTTTTCTGGAGATGTTTCACAGTTTGGCATCAAAGCTTTCTATCTTAAACGTCTTTGAGTGTCATGAAAAGCGCCATACAAGTGTTACAAGTGTTAAGTATTATTATCTATTCTCTTAAACCCGACCAAGTTGCAGGTCAGATCTGTGGAGAGGCGTCCCTATGGAAGATAATTTGTTCCATTAGATTATGAATTTAAAATGCCACTGAATTTTTTAACCCTGATAAAACATGTTTGAATTATTTTGATTCCAAATTTTAGCTGAAACAAGAATGTGACAGACCTCAAACCAAAAAGTTACACAGTGCACCTTTAAATGTTGATATAATTAAACATTTTTACAGTGGCACTACAATATTGTCCTAACAAAATCTGCCCATTAACAATATATTTTTATCTTGGATGTGACTGTCAACACCTGCAGAGTTTAGATTTTGGACGGAGATACAAAATAAACAAACAAAAAAACTCTTCTCTGTTTCGTAGAACTGTTCAACACTCCTCCCTGGACTCTGAAGATGTCGTCCAGTTTGACTCCAGAACACGCCGTGGCTTTTGTCCGCTCCAACCTGTGGCCCGGAGCTTATGCCTACGCCACCGGAAAGTAAGATTTTATTTATTTTTTTATGTTTTTCTTAGCTTTGGGGCTGCAGCATTTATCACAATTAGGTTATTTTGAATTTTGTATTGGTATAGCCTTTACTTTAATAAGGCAATTTTGTGGAGACAATTCCTAAAAAATAATAATAAGATTCAATATTTACAAAGGTTCATCAAGATCTACAATGTGAACGCAACTTTTACTTTTAATCCTATATTTTTACTCCATTTGTGCCACAGAAAGAGACAATTAGAATAAAAAGCAGAGATGGAGATTTGGACTCGAGTCAGACTTGAGTCACTCTTTTTAGGACTATTTTTGAGACTTGATGAAATAGACTAAGACTTGGGACTGGACTTGGACTTGAAGGTCAATGACTCGGGACTTGGACTTAAAACCTGTGACTTGAGAAGAGTCGATGCTTCTCCTAAAAATAAAAAGTTTTTAGAAAATACTTTTAGAAAATACTCTTCTGTTTGTTACTTTGGATGAAACTGAAGTACAGTGATACTCAAATTTACTGCAGTATTTACAGTGCAATGCAGTAAAACAAAGGGAACTACACAGAACATGATCCTTCCATTTCAGTGCAGACACACGCCAAAAAAAATGTTATTTAGCTCTTTTAAATCTTTACTCTTTTTATTCTGACTAGTGTTGTAGTACTCAAGACCGGTCTTGGTCTCGATACCAGCCTCGACACTTTTTGCATTCTTGGTCTCGTCTCGGACTCGGCAGTGTTTGGACTCGGTCTTGTCTCGGTCTTGGAGGCGTTCGGACTCGGTCTTGTCTCAGGCTTGAAGGGGCGGTCATGAAGGCACTTGGACTCGGTCTTGAAGGCGTTTGGACTCGGTTTTGTCTTGGTCTTGAAGGCACTTGGACTCGATCTTGAAGGCGCTTGGACTCAGTCTTGAAGGCACTTGGACTCGGTCTTGTCTCGATCTTGAAGGCGTTTGGACTCGGTCTTGTCTCGGTCTTGAAGGCGTTTAGGCTCGGTCTTGTCTAGGTCTTGAAGGCGTTTGGACTCGGTCTTGTCTCGGTCTTGAAGGCGTTTAGGCTCGGTCTTGTCTCGGTCTTGAAGGCGTTTGGACTCGGTCTTGTCTCGATCTTGAAGGCACTTGGACTCGATCTTGAAGGCGTTTGGACTCGGTCTTGTCTCGATCTTGAAGGCGTTTAGGCTCGGTCTTGTCTCGGTCTTGAAGGCGTTTAGGCTCGGTCTTGTCTCGGTCTTGAAGGCGTTTAGGCTCGGTCTTGTCTCGGTCTGGAAGGCGCTTGGACGTGACAAGTGATAAAAATGGAGACAGATTCATAAAAACACTGATATAAATGTGCCAAAATAACTCTAAAATACAAAAAAAATATCCAAAACTACAAAGATGGTCTCGATTTGGTCTCGATGGGTTGTGGTCTCGGTCTCAACCTTTAAAAGTCTTGGTCTTGTCCTGGTCTCGGGTCCCTGTGGTCTCGGACTGGTCTTGGTCTCGATTAGTGCGCTCTTGACTGCAACACTATGTCTGAGCGTAATGATTCACACTAAGATCTTGTCAAGCCATTTAAAAAGAAAAAAAATAGCATTTCTACAACTCATATAAATATACCATGATTTTTAAAAACAGTTTAGTTTAAAATTCATATAAACTGCAAAAATCTAAGTTGTATTTGGACTTATGGGCCAGGGACTTGAGACCCAACTTGGACTTGCCTGTATTTGACTTGGGACTCGCAAAACAACGATCTGGTCCCAGCTCTGATCATGGGCTGTTAAGTAACATGGACAAATGAGGATTACATCAGGTCAGGATAACGAGTTTTTAAGAAAATAGATCAATTTGAGTTGTGAAAATGGGGGAAATTCCAGTGTTGTAGTACAAGATCAGCAGGTGAATAGAAAATATGCAATTCAAAATAAACTAGATTGGTAAACTATACATGAAACTGGAAATGGAACCAGTGCTCAAATTCCTCGTAGTTCTCTTGTGTCTTAAACCAAACCATCTTCTGTTTCTCCCTGTAGAAAGTTTGAGAACGTTTACATCGGCTGGGGGCTGAAGTACACGGGGGAGGGGTACAGCCCGCCCGTGCCTCCCCCGCCGCAGAGGGAGTACCCGAGCGGCCCCGAGATCACAGAGGACGGGGACCCCAGCGTAGAGGAAGAACAGGACCTGAAGGACGCGCTGGAGGAGCAGGAGGCGGCCAAAGAAGAAGACGAGGAAGAGGAGGACGAGGACGAAGACGACTGAGGAACCAGCTGAAATATTCTGTGCACAGTAAATTTCCAAGTGTCAAATTAACACTTAAAGAATAAAATTTTACTCTATTTCCGAGTGTATATGGTCCTTATCTGTACAGAGTAAAATTTACTCTAGCTTCAGAGTAAAAATTTTCAGTGTCAAATTTACACTTAAAGAGTAAGCTGATGACACTCTGTAGTGTTTTCAGAATTTTACTCTAGTCGATTATTTACTCTACACAGAGTGAATAGTACTAAAAGTAGTGTTCATTGTTTACTCTGTTGCAATGCTAATAATGACACTTATTAGAGTGATTTTAATAACAGCTATAACACTCCATAGAGTAAAAATTACTCTTTGTAAGGGTCATATTTAATCATCATATTTACTCTTGCAAGAGTTAATTTCACAATTTTATAGTGCAAATTACACTCTGCTACTAAAGAAATAAAACCACAAATTGCAAATATAAATGCCAATTTATTTATGTTAAAACATTTCAATAAAACATTGACTTAAGATACAAAATGACAGTAAGGTACAACATACTTGGATGAATCCAAAGTTCCATACTTCATTTGAACATCAAATGGCTTGTAGTAGCACAGTTCGCTCACTGTAAACACTTTTGAAACTTTGTCTGGATGCCGTTGGATCTTAAAAGCATAGAAATGTTGGTCAAAACAGACAGTGTCCATAAGACCACCACAGAAGACAACAGTCTCATTGATCACAGAAATGGCTTTGATCATATAAAACACAGGTATTCCAGAAAGTACCTTTGTACAGACAATGCAGTTTGGACGATATTCTGTCCCATGACATTTAACCCACTTAACGGAAAATACATTTGTTGATAAGTCACATTTCAACTTGGAAGCAATATCTGGACCTTCTCTGATCTGACAAAGTGGGATGATCTTTCCTGGACCTAAAGTTAGCTGTTCCTTGGTAAATGACTCCTGGCCCAACGCCATACAATTCTGGTGCTTCTTGGCTAAAGTCAGTGTGATGTTTTTGAAGCTTTTCAACTGTTTTTTAAAGAAGTTATGTTTGGCTTCATAGCGCATGCACCAAAAGTAGAGGACTGGGCCAACTTTTCTTATGCTACGGGGATAGTGGAGCATAAAATGATGCTTCGGAAGGAGATTCATTGTTGGAAATAAGCGCTTAAAAAGTCTATGATGATCAGCGATTAAATGTTTTAGGTATACCGTCATACCTTTAGAAAGAACAGGAGAAAATATAATGTTGACAATTTGGAGAAGCAAAAGCAGAAGTTCCCAATGCTCATCTCCTGTCTCTATTAAATCCCCAAACAACAAAGGCAAGTTGCGCAGTAAGCACCAAGATTGTATAGCGTTAAGTCCCAAATCATTGCTTCCATCACACAATTTGATTCCTGGTGGTCGATTTCGCCGTTGAATGTAGCCATAATCAAAAGCATGTATTCTACCTGAAAGCTGCTCTGCACTAATATAGTTTTCTTGAATGTACTGGAGAATAAGCTTCATTTCAAACTGCCCAACACCCTCTAGAATGTCATGCATGATATCAACAGCAAAATTGTTGGCTGTGTTAAAATACTGCAGTGAATTCAACAAACAACTGCGTTTCACACCAAATACATGAGACAGTGTAGAGTCTGAGTCAGCAGTTTGACAATGCTGTGCATGTAACTCAACAGTTCTTAATATTACTTCAGGATTGTCTTCACAGAATACAGTTTGGAATTTTTCTTTTTCAAGAAGACAGAAGCGACAGCAATAGCGAGCCCCAAATGACTCCACAAAGCCAAAAATACTATGCAAGCCAAGATTGTCTCCTGTTACTTGAACTATTGTTCCATAAACAACATGATCAGACCTGGGAACTTTAAGACCCTCATTCTCAAGAATTTTAAGATCACCGACAAGAGGCTCAAGTATAGCGTTAAAACCATACCGCTTGACATCTTGGGCATGAAAAAAGAGCACACAAGTAAATATTTGATAGTGAAGAATTATAAACCGGTGGGAAATTCCTCAATGTAAAATAAATGGCACCCAATTTGTGAATCCCCTTTTTGGAGCCTAGAGGATTTGCAGTTTTAAAAATCATCATAAAACAACTGAATCTGCAAAGCATCTATCTTCTGAGAGAAGAGAAGATTTTCTTTCAGATAGGTGGCATCCATTATGTCCGAATATGTGCCTTCATTTTCATTATGTGGACTGTTTAAAATTACGGCCAGATTAGGGTTTAGATAAACAGTTTTTAGGGTTTCCAAAATTGGGATGTATGCAAATTTATCAGTAACAACAACTTGCTCATAGGTACCAGTAGATTTGTTTCTTCTACTATCAAATCGTGTGCCAAGAACCTTTTCAACTGGGTCAACAATTTTCCATTTCATTTCTCAGCAAAATGTTTTACTCGTTTACTTTCTGAATTTATGGGTGTAAATGGATTCTCAAGCATATGAAAGGACTGCTCAATTTTGTTCATAATTTCTGTATCCTGTGAAGACAAACACTGTAAAGCTGCATTTTTAGCCTGAATGTGGATCTCAGTAAAAGCTTCCTCCATGCAAGAAACAAAACCATTCAGGGTTGACTGACTTAAACCAGCTGCCTTAAGCTGTGCAACTGCAGAGGCGCATATATCTAGAGTGCTCTTGTTAGAAGGTTGAAGCTCATCTGAAGTTCTCTCTTCCATGTAACCCATGTGTGTCTCACTTTGACAACTGCCACCAACATCTGGGACACAACATCAGCCAATTCAGTAGCTGTTGCACTATGGTCACTGTGCTTGGCATTTAAGTGCTTTCTAAACCCAGAGAAGGAACCAAACACACGACCACATCCAGTCTCAACACATCTAAGACGGAGGGTTTTTCCTGGAAGAAACCCATGGAACAGTTTGATATGCCTAACAAGCAAATTTGAACTCTGGAACTCAGCTCGGCAAACACTGCACTTCATAGAAACACTAATAATGAAGTAACCTTGCTCTTATTTCTGCAATACGGGGTCTCTCCCTCACCTTGCCAACATCAATATTGTAAATTGTGGTCTGAATGAATGTGTACATGTTGTACAACATGGTGTGGTATGATGTGCCAAACACAAAATGTGCCTTAAACAACTCATCAAAAGAACTTAAAGAGGAGTTAGACATACAGGGGATGGCAGTCTTGTCCAGGATAATGAAGTACTGGCTGATCCTGTTCCTTTGGGTGCCAACAGCAAGGAGATAAGGCTGAGTGCTAGAAGTGATGGTGTCGAGATGTTCTTCGATACTTGTGCCACTCTGAAAAACATGTAAAAGATGTTTAGTTTTTAAAAATAACAGCATAAACTTGTTCTTATGACAGACAAAAAATTTAGGCAACTTTGCACTGGTTAACATGGTCAGAAACTTTTTTTTTCCAGTGATGAGCAAGAAACTATGCACACCTTCTTGAAGACCACAAGATGTTTTTCTGCTTGAGATGCTGACATCTTCCCCGGTTTCTTACGGCCTTGAGCAGTGGGTGGAACAAGATGCAGAAGCAACAAAATAGAAGCAAAGTCACTATCCCAGCCTTTGAAAAGAAAAAAAGAAAAACACAACACACATTGTTTTACTTAAAAACTGATGTTATGTTTTGAACTGAATTTTAATTCTTAGAGGTCATTTGCATGTTAAAGAATTTGAAAGGTTAGTTAATAACTTACCAAAGTCAGCACCATCAGCATCATCCTCCTGAGGATCTGCAGCCAATAGGAGGTCATTTAGCTCTGTGGTGGAGGGAAGCTTTCTGCACTGCTTGATTATCTTCTCCTTGAACATTGTTGGCCATTTCTCCAGAAACTTGCCAGATACATCCTCACCAAACATCAGAACAAAATCTTGTTCAATCTGTATTAAGAGAGAATGGATTGATGAATTTGCAGCTGATTGTGCCTTTTGATTTACTATGAACCTTAAATTCATCAGATCAGATTTATTTTATCAGTAAAAAAGGGATAAATATATGTATTTAGGTTTTAAATCATTGCAATATGAGTAGACCTATTCTACAAAATTATTAACTAATCAAATATGCACGTAATATCTGATGTCTAGACATAGCCTCAATTCCAATACTCATAATTGATAATTACCAATCCTTTGACGTCTTTGAATCGAGGGAAGTGTGACAGTATGTTGCTTGACAACTGGGGGTCCAGGACCATGCTTCGACGATGAGCAAACGTTTGCTTCATTTTTCTTCTTCACTGTGTTTTCATCAGAGGAGTGTTTCATCAGGGACATGGCTTCTCGACATTCTTCTTCACTCATTGGTGGCTCTGGAAGATACTGGGACTCCCGCCTGGCTGTTGGTCCTCCCAACAGTTCGTCACCGCTCATTCCTTCAGTGGAGGAGGCTAGAATGCACAAATAATCAAAAATAACTGCAGGACAAAACAGCCCTCAAAATGTACAATATTTTGTCTTGATGTATTTTAAAAACTTACCTTCAATTGATTTTCTTTCTTGGGCATTGCATCTTTGAATGTATTTAAGCCTCCAAGCCAAGTAGCCACTGTCACTTTTACCATCATAATAATGCTCCTGGATGTAACAATAATAATAATAAAAATAATAATAATAATTAAAAAAAAAGATTTTTAGTGAATACAAGATAGATTAGAAATTACTAATTCACTGAAATATACTACTCACGTGTCCATTTTCTGAGAAGGGGTCCCAGAGATGGGGGAACAAGCTCACAATTCCTCTGGCATATTTTTCTTTCACTCGTCTGGGTGGAGATGTACTGCAAAATTAGAACGATAAATTACCATTTCTGTACATTAAAAGCTGCAGATAAATAAAAACATACCCATTTTTCTCTGTCATATGACAGCAAAAGAATGTTCACCATTTTTTTTCGGGTGTCATCTGCCAAAGACTTAGTTCGATTGTACTCCATTATTACCCTTTCTCCCCCAGGCTTTTTGGAAAGAATGTCTTTCACCAACTATATAAAAAGAAAAATGAAATAGGTATTAAAACCAAGCAATTCAAAATATACAGTATTCAAGCTGTACACCTTCACTTAAGTCATACATGCTTAGCCTCGTCATCCAGCCGCTGACGCTTCGAAGCAGGACTAACAGGAAGTATGATTGTGTCCTGGGAGTCACCACTGCTGGGTGAAGAAGCACAAGGCCCAGGAGAAGAGAAACTCTCAACATTCCCTTTGTAAAAAGAAAAGTAAAACAAACATTAAAAACATACTGTGTTCTGAGACCATCAGTGAGTTAAGAAAAACAATTAAAGTAAAGAGTGGCCAAGTCATGTTTAACAAACAATACAAACCAGTATCATATGTGATGGTCAGAACACCAGTTTGAGGATCCTTTACCACATCCTCAAAAACATCCTCATCAAGCTCAGTTCCAGAACTGTCAAGGACACGTACACCTTCTGTCACAGCTGGAACACCAAACTTGGTAAATGCTAATAAGAAATAAACAGTATGAACAATGTTTGACATTTCAAACTTAAAGCCATGTTTCATTTGCAAAATTATTCTCAGAGTTCATTATATTTACTGCTATCAAACATTGAATTAAAACTAAAAATAATGCTGTTCTTTTCAGTGTAATTTGTTGCTGTAATACCAGCAGCACCACATCTGACAGTTAAGATTAGTACTGTTCTGATATTTAAACAGTTTATATTAGTTACCAGTTACAAGTTGAAAATGTGGTCATTATACTATATTACTTACCTGCATCCAGAAATGCTGTCAGATTCGGCTCAGGAACTCGAACAAATTTTTGGACGTTGGCTATTTTAACTTTCAGCAGCATTTTTCCTGAAAAAAGACAGAACATGTTTATAATGCCAAGACACTCTTCACTGTATTATGAAATCCATACAGTTCAACCGTTATTTTGTGCACACTTACACCAATGCTGCCGTGCTCGGGCACGAATGTGGGAGATTTTGTTGCCTGCACGTTCACCTGCACAAATAAAAACACGGCACCGGTACAGTGACGTCACCACACAGAGCTGTTTACATGACGAGCTGATGTCCTAACGCTCCAGCGGCGAAAATACGTACAAGAGGACACAAATAGTGGCGCCGATACGAGTCCTGTTGTGATACGCTCCTCCGTGACTCAATGGCAACACGGAGCCGCGCTCGCAACAGGGCTTCACATCCTCAGTCCTATTTATGGTGTGCGCGGATCCGTCGGTCGTTTTGGAAAGGAGTTAAAACACTTTCTCCAGTCGGGTTCACCTCCACGCATAGCCCTGACCGGGCTCGTACACTAAAGTCGTGCGTGTGCACGGAAACAAGGTAACGTGCCGTACTTTAGTTCACTTCCCCAAACAGAGCCAAAATGGAAATGTTCCGCGCCTGGATATGGATCGTTTGCACTCACATTAGACACATTTATGGTGCTTGGCTTTCCGTGCTCAGGCACGATTCGACTGGGTTTATTATGAGCACATCCTTAAGAAAACTCCGGTTTACATAGTCCTTTGTCACCGACTATTTCATGGTCCGCCTCAGCTACGCTCCCTATCATAGTCCAGATTCAATCAAATAGTACACATGAACTACTTAATGCTAAAACAACGCAAAAAACCCTTCAGATTATAGTTCTTAGTCGCGCACATTACTTGCTAAGTGTAGCAAAGACATTTGCAGACTGTGACCATGATATAGACGGAGACGGGGCGTTAACGTAGCATCGTTTGGCTCCGTCTAATTCCTGGTCACTGTCCGTATTTAAATGAATTGAACGGAGAATAAAATCTTACTTTTGGTAGCAATACTTGAAAGTTACTACTACTTCGATGTAGATTCTTAGAATATAATTATCCATTTAGAACCATTTTCAAACTGCATATCTGGCAATTCGTTTCAAATTGAGTGTCCGTTTTTTCTCCCCCGAAACTAGCTAGCCAGCCCGCCCGTTCGCACCTCGCGCGGGCTCGATATAACCGCTTAGTATGTCATAAACATCACAAGGTAGACAAATAAATATGCTATACCCAGCCATTCTAGCACATTTATACTTGAAATGTAGCTGAAATTGCCAAACTACTACTTACTTGAGACTTGTAGCGGCCACTGGTCGAAGTGAAGCGAGGAGGGAAAAATGGCGGACTCGAAAAAGTTTGAGAGGAGTTTGAGGGGGCGGAGCTTCTCAGTGCAATTATGACACTGAAGGACTTACACTGTGTTTTTACAAGGACGCTAGAGGGAGTATCACTCAATTTTTTGTAATATATACTCTTAAAGAGTAAAAAAAACTTTTACTATGGATTTTTTACACTGGAAAATTTACTGTGTGGGTTTTAAAAGGTTTAGGGCGTTTCATCGGTCTGTATAACGTTATAAAAGTCGAGACTGCTTTTCAGGAAGGAAATGCTCATTGTTTATTTTGAATTATTACATTATTATTACATTTTATAAAGTAGTTTCTTGTTTTATATTTAATAAAGTTAAATAAAATAATAAGCACTGTATGAAGTTGACTCATTATTTAAAAGAAACAGCAGATGTTCACAAAGATACAAGAAGTTTGGAGATTTAAAGGTACATTGTGTAACTTTTCTGATGAAGGGTCCATCTAGAACACAGGTGTCAAACATATGGCCCGGGGGCCAGATCCGGCCCTCCAAGTCCTTTAATCTGGCCCTCGGCTTATTTTCTACTAAAATATTTGAATTATATTTTCTATTAAAATCTTGTTAATTTTCTGTGGTGTTTATCACAGCAGCGTCTCCAGTGTCTCTGTACGTGGCCCCTCCCACCAGAGCAGCACAAATGAAGACTTGTCTCTTTCCAAACGCTCTTAAAGGACGATCGTTTTGACTGTTGACCGTGACACCCTCATCAACAAAATGTCCAACATGAGAAAAGTGGAGCCGAGTGCAGAATTTTACAACAAAAATGGACTTATTCCTATTTACATACAAGTTCATATTAAAACTTTGTGTTGAAATTGTATTTTTTCTTAAAGTTTCAGGTTGTTCATAATATTATAATATTTTGTAAAAGAAAGAGTTTATCAATTAAAAAAGATTTCTGTAATAGATTTGTGTTTCTCTGCACAAATATTTGAACTTATTGTTATTTTTGGGGTTTATATGTCATGAGTTTTCTGATCCGGACACTTTGGGATCAAAGTCGGTTGGATACAACCCTCGGACCAAAATGAGTTTGACACCCCTGATCTAGAATGTTCCACAGTATGGTATTAAATCTTTTTATCTTCATGGAGACCACACCAGACCAAGTTCCAGGTCAAATCTGTGGAGAGGCGACCCCGCTCACAGTCAGAAAGTTTTTTTCTATGTATTTTTGAGTTGTAATACCACCTGTAAGGCAAGTTTATTTGTACAGCACAATTCGTACACAAAGTAATTCAAAGTGCTTTACAGAATAAGAAATACATCGCCGTGTAATCCATTTATTTCAACAAAGTAACTGTAATTCAATTACCACTCACTGAAACAGTAACTGTAACTGAATACAGTTACTCATAATTTGTCCTCTGATTATGTAACTCCAGTACATGTAATCTGTTACTCCACAACACTGATTTTTACCCTTTTTACAGTCCCAGTTTTGAGTCGTGTGTCCCCTGTCCCTGCAGATTTGTCCCAGTTTTATACAAGAAATGTCAGATTTTTGACCAATCTGATCCCTGCCAACACTAAAAAGAGGCATACATTGACATTTGTTTAGGTAAAATACAGAAAAGTTGCTTAAAAACGACCAAAACACAAAGAAAATGTGACTATACCGACTCACGTGTTCGTCATGAATGGGCCAAGTGTATAAAAATTTTCTTTAATCACACACTCGTTTCACAATTTTATTATTACCAACCACCACAAACTGGAGGAGTCCCAGTTTTTGATTTGAAATCTAGTCACCCTAATGTTGTTACCTCGTCAAAAACAGACCTGGAGTTGTGTTTTGTTTCATTCACACATGTTTCAGTAAACATTTATTTAGGGTGAGGGGTGACTTAGGGCTGGGTGTCGTGAAATTACTGGTACGATACATACCTCGATACATAAGCCATGGTACGATACATATCCCGATACAGTGAGCTTTCGATCAATCAATTCGATATGATTCAATTAAAAAATAAAGGTTAAATTATGTCTGTGATACTAAAAGTCTTTGTTAAACCACTTCCTGTGCAGAGTTTTTATGAAACATGCTCATAAAACAAAAAATGTCAAATGTGTCGCATAAATGAGTTTCCTTCCTCTGAACAAGCAACAAAACTGTAGCTGTAACAAAATAATTAAAGGTTGTATGGAGGATTTTTTTTGTTTGTTTCAAACTGTCAGTGAAAGATTAAAATACCATTACAGAGACGCAGCAGCTTTGTAATTATGATGACCAAAAAAAAAAAGAACGAAAATCTATCAACTGTGGACGTGTTGAGGCCAGATAAACATCAGCCAATAGAAAACGAGGCTCCCTCATTTTCTATTGGCTGTTAGGTTGTCAATCAAACTCTCTAGTATAACTGACTCGTCGGAGCGCAGGGATTACGTGGTTTACGCAGCGGTTCTTAGAGGCATTTTCGAACTGTCGCTTCCTCGCAGTTCGCGACTACATTTTGGGGTGAACGATTACAAATATGCCGCTGACGCGGCCCACGGGCAATGCCACCGTGCCATGTCAGCGGGCACCAGTCACTGACATGTGAGTGTGAGTGTGTGTTTGGAAAGGGGAGAGCGCTTCGCGCTCTGTTGCGTGTGCTTCGCACACGCCTTCCCGCAGTGCTTCGCACTGCTGAACAGTAACAATAGGCCCTACGCCACCCATGGCGCTCGGGCCTAATAATAATAAGAAGAAAAACCAGAACAATTACAATATAGGGCCACCTATGGTGGCACATATATATATCATTGGAAAGGGCTCGCGTCCAGTAACGCACCCGTGCGGTCCATTGTCAATGACGAGCGCGTTGCGCTCGTCATTGACCTCTTCGATTACTCACATACCCAATGCACGTTTTTGGCGTTTACGAGAGTTAACGATTACAATTATGCCGCTGACGTGGCACTGGGCAATGCCAGTCTGTACTATTGGATGCCATGAGTGTCAGTATTGAGTGGCAATGAGTGTTTGATAAGGGGAGAGCGCTTCGCGCTCTGTTTTCGCGGGCGCACTTGACATGGTGCACTTCGTGCACCATGTCAAGTGCGCCCTACGTTTTGGGGTGAACGATTACAAATATGCCGCTGACGCGGCCCACGGGCAATGCCACCGTGCCATGTCAGCGGGCACCAGTCACTGACATGAGTGTGAGTGTGTTTGGAAAGGGGAGAGCGCTTCGCGCTCTGTTTTCGCGGGCGCACTTGACATGGTGCACTTCGTGCACCATGTCAAGTGCGCCCTACGTTTTGGGGTGAACGATTACAATTATGCCGCTGACGCGGCCCATGGGCAATGCCACCGTGCCATGTCAGCGGGCACCAGTCACTGACATGTGAGTGTGAGTGTGTGTTTGGAAAGGGGAGAGCGCTTCGCGCTCTGTTGCGTGTGCTTCGCACACGCCTTCCCGCAGTGCTTCGCACTGCTGAACAGTAACAATAGGCCCTACGCCACCCATGGCGCTCGGGCCTAATAATGATAATAATAATAATTTAAGTTAAAACAGATATCCTATCCTGAAGCTCACAGGAAGCCAGTGCAGAGACTTCAGTACTGGGGTGATATGCTCTCACTTTCTGGTCCTTGTCAGCAGTCGTGCTGCAGAGTTTTGAAGGAGCTGCAATGGAGCTGTAGATTTCTTTGGAACACCAGAAAGGAGAGCATTGCAGTAATCAAGTTTTCCTTTTCCACGCTTTTATTGAAGAGTCTGNTGATTTGTTTTTATTATGATTTTAATGTATTTCTTATTCTGTAAAGCACTTTGAATTTACTTTGTGTACGAATTGTGCTGTACAAATAAACTTGCCTTGTCTTACAAGGTGGTATTACAACTCAAAAATACATAGAAAAAACTTTCTGACTGTGAGCGGGGTCGCCTCTCCACAGATCTGACCTGGAACTTGGTCTGGTGTGGTCTCCATGAAGATAAAAAGATTTAATACCATACTGTGGAACATTCTAGATGGACCCTTCATCAGAAAAGTTACACAATGTACCTTTAAATCTCCAAACTGCTTATATCTTACATCTGCCGTTTCTTTTAAATAATGAGTCAACTTCATACAGTGCTTATTATTTTATTTAACTTAACATTAACATTAACATTTCCTTCCTGAAAAGCAGTCTCGACTTTTATAACGTTATACAGACCGATGAAACGCCCTAAACCTTTTAAAACCCACAGAATATTTCAGCTGGTTCCTCAGTCGTCTTCGTCCTCGTCCTCCTCTTCCTCGTCTTCTTCTTTGGCCGCCTCCTGCTCCTCCAGCGCGTCCTTCAGGTCCTGCTCTTCCTCTACGCTGGGGTCCCCGTCCTCTGTGATCTCGGGGCCGCTCGGGTACTCCCTCTGCGGCGGGGGAGGCACGGGCGGGCTGTACCCCTCCCCCGTGTACTTCAGCCCCCAGCCGATGTAAACGTTCTCAAACTTTCTACAGGGAGAAACAGAAGATGGTTTGGTTTAAGACACAAGAGAACTACGAGGAATTTGAGCACTGGTTCCATTTCCCGTTTCATGTATAGTTTACCAATCTAGTTTATTTTGAATTGCATATTTTCTATTCACCTGCTGATCTTCTACTACAACACTGGAATTTCCCCCATTTTCACAACTCAAATTGATCTATTTTCTTAAAAACTCGTTATCCTGACCTGATGTAATCCTCATTTGTCCATGTTACTTAACAGCCCATGATCAGAGCTGGGACCAGATCGTTGTTTTGCGAGTCTAGTCAGTGTTTGACCTCAAGTCCAAGTCAAGTCCCAAGTCAAATACAGGCAAGTCCAAGTCGAGTCTTGAATCATTGGCCCATAAGTCCAAATCAAGTCCAAGTCGTCTGCTTTGAGCTTCAAGTCATGTCATAGCTTAGATTTTTGTAATTTTAGATGAATTTTAAACTAAACTATTAAACTGGTTATTTATATATGAGTATTTATATAAGAGTTGCAGAAATGTACTTTTTTTTTTTCTTTTTAAATGGCTTGACAAGATCTTAGTGTGAATCGTTACGCTCGGACTTAGTGTTGCAGTCAAGAGCGCACTAATCGAGACCAAGACCAGTCCGAGACCACAGGGACCCGAGACCAGGACAAGACCAAGACTTTTAAAGGTTGAGACCGAGACCACAACCCATCGAGACCAAATCGAAACCATCTTTGTAGTTTTGGATATTTTTTTTGTATTTTAGAGTTATTTTGGCACATTTATATCAGTGTTTTTATGACTCTGTCTCCATTTTTATCACTTGTCGCGTCCAAGCGCCTTCCAGACCGAGACAAGACCGAGCCTAAACGCCTTCAAGACCGAGACAAGACCGAGTCCAAACGCCTTCAAGACCGAGACAAGACCGAGCCTAAACGCCTTCAAGATCGAGACAAGACCGAGTCCAAACGCCTTCAAGACCGAGACAAGACCGAGTCCAAACGCCTTCAAGACGACAAGACCGAGTCCAAGCCTTCAAGACGAGTCCAAGCGCCTTCAAGACAAGACCAAGAGCCTTCAAGACAAGACCGAGCCTAAACGCCTCAAGACCGAGACAAGACTCGCCTTCAAGACCGACAAGACCGAGTCCAAACGCCTTCAAGACCGAGTCAGACAAGACCGAGTCCAAGCCTTCAAGACCTCAAGACCTCAAGACCGAGTCCAAGACCGAGTCCAAGTTCAAGACCGAGTCCAAGACCTTCAAGACCGAGAGTCCAAGTGCCTTCAAGACCTCCAAGACCAAGACAAGACCGAGTCCAAGCCTTCAAGACCGAGTCCAAGACAAGAAAGCCTTCAAGACCGAGACAAGACCCAAGCCTTCAAGACGACCAAGACAAACGCCTTCAAGACCGAGTCCAAGAGTCCAAGCCTTCAAGACTGAGTCCAAGAGACCGAGTCCAAACGCCTTCAAGATTGAGACAAGACCGAGTCCAAGTGCCTTCAAGACTGAGTCCAAGCGCCTTCAAGATCGAGTCCAAGTGCCTTCAAGACCGAGTCCAAGACAAGACCGAGTCCAAACGCCTTCAAGACCGAGTCCAAGTGCCTTCATGACCGCCCCTTCAAGCCTGAGACAAGACCGAGTCCGAACGCCTCCAAGACCGAGACAAGACCGAGTCCAAACACTGCCGAGTCCGAGACGAGACCAAGAATGCAAAAAGTGTCGAGGCTGGTATCGAGACCAAGACCGGTCTTGAGTACTACAACACTAGTCAGAATAAAAAGAGTAAAGATTTAAAAGAGCTAAATAACATTTTTTTTGGCGTGTGTCTGCACTGAAATGGAAGGATCATGTTCTGTGTAGTTCCCTTTGTTTTACTGCATTGCACTGTAAATACTGCAGTAAATTTGAGTATCACTGTACTTCAGTTTCATCCAAAGTAACAAACAGAAGAGTATTTTCCTAAAAGTATTTTCTAAAAAACTTTATATTTTATTTTTTAGGAGAAGCATCGACTCTTCTCAAGTCACAGGTTTTAAGTCCAAGTCCCAAGTCACTGACCTTCAAGTCCAAGTCCAGTCCCAAGTCTTAGTCTATTTCATCAAGTCTCAAAAATAGTCCTAAAAAGAGTGACTCAAGTCTGACTCGAGTCCAAATCTCCATCTCTGCTTTTTATTCTAATTGTCTCTTTCTGTGGCACAAATGGAGTAAAATATAGGATTAAAAGTAAAAGTTGCGTTCACATTGTAGATCTTGATGAACCTTTGTAAATATTGAATCTTATTATTATTTTTTAGGAATTGTCTCCACAAAATTGCCTTATTAAAGTAAAGGCTATACCGATACAAAATTCAAAATAACCTAACTGTGATAAATGCTGCAGCCCCAAAGCTAAGAAAAACATAAAAAAATAAATAAAATCTTACTTTCCGGTGGCGTAGGCATAAGCTCCGGGCCACAGGTTGGAGCGGACAAAAGCCACGGCGTGTTCTGGAGTCAAACTGGACGACATCTTCAGAGTCCAGGGAGGAGTGTTGAACAGTTCTACGAAACAGAGAAGAGTTTTTTTGTTTGTTTATTTTGTATCTCCGTCCAAAATCTAAACTCTGCAGGTGTTGACAGTCACATCCAAGATAAAAATATATTGTTAATGGGCAGATTTTGTTAGGACAATATTGTAGTGCCACTGTAAAAATGTTTAATTATATCAACATTTAAAGGTGCACTGTGTAACTTTTTGGTTTGAGGTCTGTCACATTCTTGTTTCAGCTAAAATTTGGAATCAAAATAATTCAAACATGTTTTATCAGGGTTAAAAAATTCAGTGGCATTTTAAATTCATAATCTAATGGAACAAATTATCTTCCATAGGGACGCCTCTCCACAGATCTGACCTGTAACTTGGTCTGGGTTTAAGAGAATAGATAATAATACTTAACACTTGTAACACTTGTATGGCGCTTTTCATGACACTCAAAGACGTTTAAGATAGAAAGCTTTGATGCCAAACTGTGAAACATCTCCAGAAAAATGCACATTTAAAGGTTGTATGGAGGATTTTTTTTTTGTTTGTTTCAAATTGTCATTGAAAGTTTAAAATACCATTACAGAGACGCAGCGGCCTTGTAATCATGATGACCAAAAAAAAAAAAAAAAAAGAATGAAAATCTATCAACTGTGGATGTAGTGAGGCCGGATAAACATCAGCCAATAGAAAACGAGGCTACCTCATTTTCTATTGGCTGTTAGGTCGTCAATCAAACTCCCTACGTTTATGCAGAGGTTCTTAGGCTGCGTTCAGACTGCAGCCTGAAGTGACCCAAATCTGATTTTTTGGCTTCTGTGTTCCTGTATCTGATCTTTTAATGACAGTCTGAACGACACAGATCCGATTTTTTCAAACGCGACCCAGGACACTTGGATATGTGCTCCTGAAACCGATACATATCTGATCTTTTGACATGTGACTTCAGTGTGAACGGCCAAAGCGCATTCATCCACCTACACGTTATCAACAAGACACAAACGTCACTATTCTGCGCTGAAGTCGGCGAAAATTGTTAATGAACTCCGTGTCACTGAAGTGAAGCACATCACCACTCACCACTCTTGGCTCCGTCTCCACATCCACACGTTCCTTTCAACAGACACTGCCCCACAAAACACCACGACCAAAAACCTCGTCCTTCTCCTTCTCAATCTCCTCCTTAAAACAAGTAAGTTGTTCATGTTCTGGCTCCGGTACGAGAGGAACTTTAAAATCTCTCAACTAAAAAGTTGGACAACTTCCGTAAACACAGAGCACGCTCGCTGCAGTTGACGTCGTCGTGTCTCCAGTGCACATACGGGACACTTTTGGGCCGTTTAACATTCACACAGGAGACACATACAAATCACATTTAATTGGAAATGTGAACGACCTCGAAAAAACATCAGATTTCACAAAAAATCGGAATTGAGCGTTAAGCCCTGCAGTCTGAACGTATGTCTTAGAGGCTTTTTCAAACTGTCACTTCCTCGCAATTTGCAAAGCTTGTTGCGATGGTGGACAAGAATCCACGACCAGTTCGCCCCAAAAGAAAATCCGTTTTTGAGATCGCTGAAAGAACAAGAGAAGGGGAAAAGGAGCGAAACCAAACTGACGTGATTCTTGGAGATTCCTTCCAGCGATGGCGCGAATGAAGCAGACGAAGGGTCTAAAAACTGACGCGTCGATCACTAAATTATTTCTAGACAGGAAACTTCAACAGTAATTCTGAACGAGCACTGGCTGTAAACAAATGTAATTTCTAGAGTAAAGAGGCAGGAGGAGATG